CAGAGTAGAGAGGACCTCACCAAAGCTTCTTTCTCTAGCTCCATGGTTTAAAAGTATTTGAAGCTTTAATGCAACTGAAAATACTACTTAGAAAAAGCACATTTTGGGTCAATCTTACCATTTTGAGATGTTCAATTACTATAGAATAAATTGGCATTTGCTTTATATTTTTTGTTAGATTTATGCAAAAGCATTTGTGAAAGATATCTTCCCTGCCCCTTTCCCTGTCCCTATTTTGTGTGTAAACTGAGAATTGTGTTTATAAACAAAGCTTTTGATTTTTCTGAGTTGAACATATCTGGCAACCAGCTTAGTGGTTAAGAGCACTGGTTATTCTTCCAGAGGACACAGGTTCAATTCCCAGTACCCACATGGCAGCTTATAATCCTCTAACTCCAGTTTTGGGAAACTGATGGCCTCTTCTGGCCTCCACTGGCACCAGACATGCACACGGTACACACACACACACACACACACACACACACACACACACACACACACACACACACAGAGAGAGAGAGAGAGAGAGAGAGAGAGAGAGAGAGAGAGAGAGGAGAGAGAGAGAGAGCGAGAGAGAGCACTACGCTGTGCTTCAAACTCACACAAACACCCTAACCCCATCCATACACCAAAATAGAAAAATCACACAGGGAATAATAACCACTAACTCTGATGGAACAGATGGGACCTGGACGTGAACTCAGTGAGGCCACGGAGCAGGAAGACACACCTGCCTTGACCTGTAAGAGCCTTGACCTTTCAGCTGTGTTAAGCCACCTTCCAGAGTAGATGTCATCTCATCTTTGAAAATCTATGGCTGAGTATTGCTGCTGCCTTGGAGGCTGCTAACCATGGAGTGTGTGCAGCTACCTTCCTTTGGAAGATATACACTCTCATTTTCCAGGCTCAAAAATCTACCTGTTACACAGGTATGAAATGTGTGTCTGAATTAGACCACTGTGACCTCAACAGAGGCCTTTATTAGAGTCAAGCAACTCACCAAGCAGGTTGATACATCTGTTATGAATCGATCTAGTCATTTCACTCAGCTTTGTACTGAGCTAAAGACACGCAGGGAAAATAGCCTGATGGGTCTGTCTTCTTTCACAGCCTCCTACTGTCACCGAGCTGTTGCTGCTCCAGCCTACCTGCCTCCTCCTCTCTCCATGGGGGCTTCTTTAGACAGAAGACTCATATTTTACTTGTCTTATCACCATGAGTTAGAACATACCAAGTGCTAAATGAATATGCTGAACAATGGAACAAAGGGGACTGGAAATCCTAAACTCAAGGTCTTTTTTAAAATTTTTATATTTAAATTTAAATTAGAAACAAGGTTGCTTCACATGTCAATCCCAGGTCCCTCTCCCTTTCCCTCCCCTCCTCCCATGCCCTCCCACCAACCCCCCAATACCCCCTCATTTCCCCAGGGAGGGTGAGGCCTTCCATAGGGGTGTCCATAGTCTGTCATTTCATCCAGAGCAGGGCCTAGACCCTCCCCCAAGAGTCCAGGGTGAGAGAGCATCTTTCATTGTTGGATGGGAGTCCAAAGTCCAGTTGTATATCTGGAATAAATACTGATCTAAACTCAAGTTCTTTCTCCATTTTGATGGGTAGAAATGAAAATAAACACAACTCAACTTAGACTGAATTAAAAATAATGCTATTATTATTTACAAGTATATCCATTAGAATTAAAATAAGATTTTTGTGGGTGTGTCTTTTTTGGGGTCCCAGAGATGGAAGCCAGGGGTTTGTACAGATTAGACAAAGAACATTCTACCACCGAGTCACTTCTGCCCCGACTCAGCTTTTCTTGTTGTTTTGATTTTTGTCGTACTGGGCATCACACCCATGACTCTATGCATGCCAGCAATGTGCTCTGTCGTGGAAGCTACACTGACTGACCTAAGAGCAGCTTTTGAGAAGGATTTAGAATGTTTGAGTAAAAGTCAAGAGTACAGAAGCTCTGGCAGGCCCAGGGGCTTACAGCCATGAGGGTTGTGGGAGAATGGCAGAGTCAGCAGCCATCTGTGCTGTCAAGGGAAGTAGCTTTAGCTGTATTCTAAGGGCTGTGAGTGTTTCTGACATATGTGCTTTAGGGAGAGAATCAAGGAATCAGAACTTGGTGATGGAGTGAACCATGCATACATGGCGGGCAGAGCTAGAACTTGCTCACGGGCTAGAACTTGCCCACTCTCCACCCTACAGCATGCTGCAGATAGAATCATGACTCATCAGGAACTGGGGGAAGACTCTACCTTCCAGAGAAGACAAACAGCACTCTTAGCTCTGGGGCATGTCATGAGTGGTTGAAGCCAGCAAAACACTCAGTCCCCTGGCCCGAGATCCCCAACCTGACTGAAGTCATACTGGCAATATGGCTCATTGGAGGTAAACTGATGTCACCCAGTCTGGCCATCAGCTTACCAGGTAGAGGGTGCAGGCTGGCCCAGTGTAGCTCACTCCCATGTTGTTCCCTCCTTGTCCCTTCATTTTAAGTAAGGGACTTAAAATGATATCCACAAGTCCACTCTGTACCTTTGGACTATGAGGCGAGAAGCAAGAGGAGAAAATCCACTGTAATTTGGACAGCGCCTAGCACTATTGAACATCTACGGTAGCCTTAGCCTGTATTTGGAGTTTTATTATCATTTTCATATAAGCACTGATTTATTCAAGTCAATTAAGTCAAATGTTTAACCTTTTATATAATTGGTATATGAAAGTAAAATGCTTTGGAGGTCACAATTAGAAATGAAGCAACATTGAGAAGAAAAAACTGAGACAGTTGTCACTCATAAATGTACATATAAAACTAAAAAGTAAAGATAGGCAAATTCATCCAAGCTGCAGACAAAAACATTCAAAGATAAAGCAAAGCCTGGGCACTGTGGTGCTCAGGAGCTGTAGGGCCAGGAGTTGAAGGACACTCTTGTCTTGGGTCCATGGTGATGGAGGTTACAGAGCTAGAGAGGTCAGGGTTGAGTGCATGGGAGTTTCTGGAAATTCTGCAGTCATCACAGGAAGGTCTCATTCCAGACTCATGTGAGAGAAAACCACATTATTTTTTTTAAAAAATCTTATTAAATTCTCCATTATTTCCTGTGTCCCAAATAGGCAAAAATAGTTCTGATGATGATAAAAAGAAAAGAAAAATTTAGGTAAAACATCATATTATCATCTTAAAAGGTGCCAAAAGTCGTTTGCTTTATACTATCTTGAAACAAAACAGAGGAGGAAGGGAGTTTCTTTTGCTTCTAAAGAGCACAGATCCAAACTGATAAGAATGATAAGGACTAATAATGAGACCATTAATAGGTCCACCAAAATTGAAGGCAATTCATGACTAACAGGAAACAGGGAAAACTTTAGATATCTGGAACAAGCCCAAGACACAAAAATCAGTATTCTTCCCACTTAGCTAAGGAAGCATTTTTAAAACACAATAAAGAGATCTGTTTTGTAAGAGCCACCACAAAATAGTCAGTGAACCTGAAAGACCCCTACCCAGACCCCCTAGGAAAAGAAAAGTAAGGCCAGGCCGTTGCCTAATGAAAGAAACCCAGACCAGGTGTCTCACCCTCAAAACAGGATGTCTGTGATCACTATAGCAGTCATGGGACCCGGATAATAATTGCTGAAGCGTGCTGGGAACTTTCATATGACAATACCAGGACACCTAGTCCTTGGCAACTACCCTTGCCCCCAGTTGTGTCTATGATCACCATAGTAGTCATGGGACCCGGATAATAATTGCTGAAGTATGCCTGGGTCTTTCATAAAGTAATACCAGGAAACTTAGTCCGTGGGAACTACCCCTGCCCCCAAGATGAGCCAATGAAATGCCTGTTACTTATGTAACCATTGAAACTCTATAAATATTGTACTCCCTGAAAGCCTGGTATGCTCTGCACCCGAGTTGCAGTAGCATCCGCAGGCGCCTGTGTACTCAATAAATCACCTCTTGCATTTGCAGCCAGTGGTCTGGCCCCGGTTCTTGGGCAGAGGGTTCGGTTCAGTGCCCGGCGCTTTGATGCCGAGGTTTTTCAAACCAACCAAGAGGGCACAACCAAAAGCAAGAGACACTTTTAACTTTGCTCTTTTTCAGAAAACAGCACACCTCCCCTAGGCACAGAAACTAAACACAGAACAGGAGACTGTCTGAGTGACACTGATCTTCCTTGTATTTGAATACAGTCATCCTGGGAGCTTTTCATTGGGGAGCAACTTACAGAACGTAAGGGGATAAGCAAGAAACTCCAAGATAGTTTTGATAAAGGAAAAAAGTGGATGTAGGTGCACGTATAGCCAACCTGTGGCTGACAGGGCTCCAAGCAGCCAAGGACAGGTATGCAAGTGGCCCGGCAGAAAGGTGTAGTCTATTTCAAACACGGCATTACTTTTAGATGCTTTTTTAAAAAAAATAACTCAGCTGCATAGTTCTCAAGTGCGAATGCTATAGATGAGAATGTTGTGTTGCAATGTCAATGGTTTGGCATGCCTGAGGAGAATCAGTCTTCCTGTAAATGCATACTACACATGGAAGTACGATGATTAAAGCAGTGGCAAAGGGGTGTGTGTGTGTGTGTGTGTGTGTGTGTGTGTGCGTGTGTGCTTGCATGTACATATATGTATGACTGAGCAAGGGGAGAAAATATGGCATACAGTTCTGGCATATGTGCTTAATTTCCTATCTAAGACCCACTTGCTTTTTTCTCATGACTGGATACTTGCACACACTGACTACATCATACCCAATCCTGTAATAAGCCATGGTTATCAATTGATCAAGACAATTTTGCTATGCTGTGGCCAGTTTTCCCTACAAACACCTCTAAAATTCAAGCAGAAACCTGCTTGGCTCTCTCTGTGTGACAAACATTTTGCTTCCTTAACAAAAGGAACAAACATAACACCCTCTCCTTTCTACGCTCTTTGAAGAGATGTGACTATGAGGAAAACATCAAGAAAGCCCACATGCTGCAGCTGTGACATACCTGAATAGTTCCCCTAGTGTCAGCACCAAGTGCTGGAAGTTCTGTGAAAACAGGCGGGGTAACTCTCCTGTCACTTGGGGATGAGTGCTATATTACCTGAAAGAACGACAGAAGCAGAGAAGTCTAAATGCCTGGGATCTCAAGAGGAAGGATCATCCATGAGTGAGTTGGCAGTCTTTTGGAGGATGGGGAACAAATGAGCAAAAAACAGTCCAACAAATCCCATAGGAATTCATTAAGGATAAGACGCTTTCTCTCTTGTCTGTTGTTCCTATTTGTTAAACAAACAAAACTACAAGTGTGTCAGAGGATGAGTGTGGGTGAGCCTACTTGGGACCTTAAGGTAGAGTAGACTGCAGAGCTTTGTGATGTAGACCGTGGACCTCTTCTTCATGAACGCACAGCACAGGCCCAATGCAGACAGACACGACCACTCCAGGAGGGTTGGCAGAATTTGATGTGGCCATTTCCTGGTCTGGGTCCTAAATGCCTCCTGGGTCTCAGCTTTTCTGTGACTTCTCACTTGCTAGTGTGCAGAGTGTCCTGTGGAGGGCTGAGGCCACAGAGTATGCTGGAGCCACTGGAGAGAGAAAGGTGGATGCCTAGACGATCATGGGGGCAGGGAGCTCCTGCTGACCACCCAGGGCTGACACAGAAAGAAACACAGGCAAGCCTGTTAAATCACAGGGATCTAGGACAAGGTTCTAGCACCTGACTGGCCTCTAATACAGGAAAGTTTCACAGAAGACATAAAAAGCAAAAAGCTCCCCCCCCCAACCTTAATAAAACCTTTACCAGCGCCAGGTGGTGGTGGTGCACGCCTTTAATCCCAGCACTAGGGAGGCAGAGGCAGGCGGATCTCCGTGAGTTCGAGACCAACCTGGTCTACAAGAGCTAGTTCCAGGACAGCCTCCAAAACCACAGAGAAACCCTGTCTAAAAACAAAACAAAACAAAACAAACAAAACAAACAAACAAACAAACCCAAAAAGAAAAACAAAAAACCAAACCAAACCAAAAAACCAAACCTATACTAGTAAATCCCCAAATTTCAAGTAACAAAATATGTAATAACATTTTCTTCAGCATACAAGAGAATGGGACAAAAGTTTAGAAACTACATAATAAAGAAGTGATTGGATTCAGAATCTATGGCTGGCTTTTCCTAGTAAGGAGAAAAAGACAAAAGGGTTGATAAAAAATTGAATGTTCAGTTAATAGGAAATTCAAATGACCAGCAGACAACTGAAAGCCAAACAACCACAGTAATAATGAGGGAGTGGAAAACCAAGCTGTAAGAGAGTCATTTTCTGATCGCTCATCATATTGTTAAAGGGGAGAGCCTGAAACCCCCAGGTCCTGGTGAACCAGGTCAGCTGTAACATTGCTGGCGGGAGCACTCTGGGCTACTGGTCAGTAAGGCCATCCTTTCAGGAGCTAACGCTTTGTTTTAATGTGCCTACCTTCTAAGTCAATGATTCTACCTCTCTGCATTTTCTTATGTGCATGGGAAAGCACGTCTGAGGATGCTACACCGAACTAGTGGGAGAGCAGGTATTATCCATACAAGGCTGTGCTCTTGATGCCAATATGAAAATCTCCCAGGGATGGGGAGATGGCTCAGTGGTTAAAAACACTGGCTGTTCTTCCAGAGGACTCAGGTTCAATCCCTAGCACCCACATGACAGATTACAATCGTCTGTAACTCCAATTCTAGGGGATCTGACATCATACATACATGTAGGCAAAATACCAATGCACATGAAATAAAAAAAGTTAAAAAGAAGAAAAATCTCTCTAAGGCACTTGGAGAATATTGACATTATATAGTTTGATTAAATAACACTAAAGGGGAAAAAACAAGCTCACAGAAAAATTTGCAGGGGACATTGGGTATATTCTTACCAAGCAATCTGCATTGCCTCATCAGAGACTGACACAGAGAACCATCTTAATAACACTGGTAAGCTCCCCCTGCATTCCTTTCCTACAGCCAGTTTTCACTAACTCAGCCCTTGCTCTATGCCATCTGACATGGATACAACCCCAAATCAGACATGGCCTGCCTTCTAGAGTATCCATAGGTATTTAGGGTGGTGAAGAGGCACCTAGAAAGTGCAGTCACCCTAGACAGGAGACAGGAGAACAAGAGAAGTTTTGGGTGGGCGTTTGATGGGATTCCAGCAAACCTCAGGCACACTGGGGAGCAAAGGGATGGACCCATGGGACTGTATGTATGGGGTGCAGAACCAGGAACAGGGGCTGTGTAGACAGGAAAAGAGGGAACCGGATGTAAATGGACTGGGTGAACCACAGCAAGGGCATGCTCCAGAAGTCAGAGCTGTGAGCTGACAGAATTCAGACAGGGCAGACCAAGCAAGTGGGCAGAAGCTCTGTTTTCAAAGTTATAAGCTATAACACCATTAAGATAGCAACTGCGTTCTTACTGACTTACGAATTTAACATGATCCCAGTCTATATCTCTATATCTCTGGGAGTAGGAGTCTTTGTAAGCACTGACATGGTGAATACTAAAATTATATGTGAAAATGAAAGCTAGGTTAGCTTAAGGATACTGAAAAAGAAAAAATGTTGGAGGACGTACAGATTTTAGGATGTGGGCAGCATAGCCCGATGAGTATGAAAAGATGGAGCTTGTGTCAAAGAAGCAAGAAGCACATAACTGACTTTTGCTACAGGTATGGCAGGAATCCAATGAGACAGGTGACTTTTGAATAAACGGTGCCAGGACAAATGGCCATAGATATGTAAGGACACACAAGAAAATAACCTTGACCTACATCTCACACTCTGTGTAAAACTGACTCTAAGCAAGCCATGGATCACTGCATGAGTGTTCAAGTCTCCTTGAGTGAGCATGTTCATATGGCATTCCTTTGTGTGTGTGTGAGAGAGAGAGCTTTCTGTATGTTAGTGTCTGTGCTGTACACATTGTATTTATGCTCATTATGGGTAAGGATGTACATGAGTAGAGTCCACACTTGCACAATTGTGTGTACTAAGGGGGCATGGAGGGTGTTCAAGTGACATTTGCAGGACAGTTTCAGGAGAATGGACATTTACACTCATAGCACCTATATGGCTAGTGGAACCACAGGAGCAGACACAGGAATTTCTCACCTGTTTTCAGAAAATAATTGAAATTTTACAAGCAGAGGAGAACTTCAGCTTTGGAGCTTAAATAGATCTATTACAGTTGAAAATTCACCAGTGCAATTCAGTGTTCAAGCAAGCATCTGCCTCTCTAAACAGACCAAACTAGTTTGCCCAAATACATAATTAGATGAAAATGAAAATGACAGCTACAGGCATGGACAGCCACCATCCTGATGACTTGAGACTAACAACTTGATTTCTCTCATTCCTTGGCAACTTCACAGACTAATGAACAACTACATTACCTTTTTTTTTTAGTTATTTGTATTTTTACTCTTTTAGACACTAGAAACATATACTGAATCCACAGGCATATCAAAAGACCTAGGGACAATTGACTTCTATTCTTGAGTACTCACTGCTTTCTAAAAAACATATTTTCTGCCTTGCTAGGGATTGAACTCAGGGCCTCCTCCCTCAAGCTAGGTAATTGCTTTGTCACTGATCCATGTTCCTGGTCCTCACTGACTCTCATTTGAAATAAGGATAGCATCTTCTGCAGTAGTGTGGCTACCTCAAGCACAGTTCTAATGTTGAGGACCACCAGGAAGAGGTTGGCCTGTTGCACCTGATGTTATTATTCAGGCATTGATTTGCAAACACACCCTTCAACTAACAACCTTAGAAATTCAGCAAAGCCCTGTGGAGTTCCAGTCCTTCACACATTTGGCAACTTTCATGACTAGAATAGCAAAAGTACCCCTAATTTTTTCCATACAAATGAGCAGGAAGTCCAAGAATCCAGGATCAGCCGTTTAGGGTAAGAAAGGGATTGCAGCTGTATTTGTACATACTACCCTGAGGAAAGAATGGCAAAAACCAATTTCACTCCAGCACAGGGCAGTGACTCAACACCAAGCAAGTGGCACACAGCTCTGGCAGAAACAGTCTCTGTAAGTCTGAAGCATTGATTCCAACTAAGACAATTCTTCCCTCTTAGCCAAGGATAGTGTGTGTTTTTCCAAACTTTACATTGACCTCGAGACAAACTGCCTGTGGTCCCAGTCTCTCTAATCAATGGCCAAGGAAACCACCACAGCTGTAGAGAAGAAAAACTGAATCTGACCACGAATCAAGAAAGGAAAGATTAATCATCCAACAGTGGGGGCAGGGGGAGTGGAGGGAGGCAGACGCTCTTCCAGCAGAGAAAGTGACAAGAACAAGGCCTACTCTAGAGCTGCACATCTACGTGCACATGCCCTCTACTTCAGGCATGCTACCATTGATGTGAACAACTTGCCCCAAGTCTAGGGACTCAAATAAAATGTGTTTGTAACCTTATATTGTCTATAGGGCAGTGACTGGCATGCAGCTTGAGTCGATTCAGGCTGTTAACTAAATACAGGTTGGGGCTTGTGATCTCAAGGGAAAGCTCAGCTAGGAAACGGTCCCTTCCCAAGATCCCCCATTCTTCCTTGGCTGGACTGTTGTGGAGGATTGTTACATGTTGGGAGGCCATCATCTTGAGGCAGCCTTCAATGTATTCTCTGTATTCTTTTCCCCAGTGATAAGTCACCGGGCACATCCCTGATATAGAATGGGATATCAGGAGGTAGGGATGTTGGGGATCCTTGCCAGCTACCGCCTGCCATCATACCCACACCCTGGGTCAAGTTCACCACGCAAGTCTCCAAGCACAGTCTTTTATCATTTAGCAGGCACCTTTAAAATCTAATTATTACCTCAAAATTTATTCCCCAGTTAGCAAAAGGGGAGAAATTGAGATTTGTTAACATTTTGATATCCTGCTTCAACATAACACTGGTAAGCCTGCTTGATCCTATTCTGAAACTCTCAAGAAGCATCATAAATATTTAATATTTAAGGATTCACATTTGATAAAAATGCAGAAGTCTGTAGAAATAGATAATTATATTTTTATTGCCTAATACAAAGCAACCTCAGTGTGTTACATTGCTC